CACGCCCCCGGAGGGGGTCGGCCCCACAAGGCAGCAGCATCCCGTAGCTGTGCAGCTCGAGCCCCTCGCTGCTGCAGGCCTGGGGGTGGGGTGAGAGGGAGTAGCATCAGACACTCCTAGACAGCCCAGCATTGGTAGATCTACAAGCACCCCTCCGCCTAGCGCCATGACGGTGGCATCTCCCAGTAACTTCCCTCCCCGGCACAATGGTATCTCCCAGAAACTCCCCCCTCACAATGGCAGTGATGTCCTGAACTCCCCCCCTCCCCCCCCGGCATGACAATGGCATATCCTCAGACTTACCTTCCCCACTAACCCTCCCATTATGCCAATGGTATCTCCCATGGCCTTTCCCAGATGGAGAGGATATCCTGAGATCTCCCCTTTAATAGCAGCAGTATCTCCCAAAAACTGCTGCCCCTCTGCCCCGCCAATATACCCAAAATTCCATAAGGTAATAATCTCTCTCCAGGATTCCCTTCCAGGTGGCCACGGTATCTCCCGAGACCCCCTTCCTCATATAGCAATTGTATCTCTCCAGAACTCCTCCCCAGCAATGGTATTTCCCAAGACCCTCCACAATCGTCCATCCTGAACCCCTGCCTACCCCTCACGTGAGTGGTATTTCTGGGAACTCCCCCAGAAGGCAAAGGAACAGGCCTGTACCCACATGGGATGGTCTCCCCAACGAGGGTGCACGGGGGCCCCTGGGAGTGACACTGGGGTTCCCCCAGCACCCTGCCTGTACTCACCTCCTTGGCCACGCCATGCCAGTATACATAGCTCTCGCATGAGTCCATCTTCTCCTGGTGCAGGAACTTGCAGGTGTCAGGTACGGGGGGGGGGGGGGGGGGGAAAGAGGACAGAGTGTGAGCTCAGCTCTCCCACACCCTGCTTGCATCCTCAGGCTCCCTCCCAGGAGTCCCAGTTCCCAGCTCCCCCACTCTACCCACTAGACCTCAGTGCCCTCCCAGAGCAAGGGATGGGACCCAGGCATCCTGTGCCCACCTCCACTCACCCAGGCACCTGTAGGGCACCACGATGTGCCGATGCCCCTTGCACTGGGGGCGCCCTTTCTTGCACCAGTTGTCAATGGTGATGGGCTGCGTGCCTTCCACCGCGCTGGTGATCTGCAGCTCGGGGTACACCTGTGGGGCAGGCAGTTATCACAGGGGGCCCACAGGGGCATAAAGCCGTGGGCCCCCCACTAAAGATGCAACAGACAGCAGGGGCCATGGGCAGGGATTGATTAGGGGTCTCTGCCTCTTCTTGCTAATCCCTGAGCGAGCTCTGGGATGGATCAGTCCACCCCCCGCATCTCTCTTAGCTTTTGGCCACATGAAGAGCGCAGCAGGGGAGATCCTGACACTGGGGCCCAGACTATGGATGTTAAGTATCGAGTAAAGGACTAATAACGTATCGACTAATCGTGTACTCAATAAGGGGCTGCTCTGGCTCTGCAGTTTAAATGTACTGTTGTACCTCTGCCTCCCCTGCCCCCGCTCCCCGTACTGTGGAGAACCAGCTCTGATATAGAGGCTGCAAAGCGGGGGGTGGGGGGTGGAGTGGGGTGTAGTCAACTCGACTACTCAATAAGCCTAGGCAGTGACTACTAACCATTTGACTACTCGCTTACATCCCTAGCACAGACCATGGAAAAGGACCTGCTGGTGGGAGGGGCCAGTGTAGTGCGGCTGGGGGGGCTAACAGGAAGGTCCACTGTGCAGGCGTGTCAGGAAGTGTGGGGCAGAAGAGGGTGGGCACATCCTGGCAGCGTGTGGGTGGGAACATGGGTTGTGGGAAGCCATAGGGCAGGGGGCTGTGGGGCTGGTACTCGCTGGCAGTGTGGGGGCTGTGAGGAGCCATAGGGCAGGGGGCTGGTCTCGATGACCTCCTGAGGTCTCTTCCAGCTCTATGATTCTATAGGAGGCCCCCGACGTCTGACCGCCCGAGTTCCGACTCCCCTTCTGTAAGTGCAGAAGGGACCAGAAACCCCCAACTTATGTCCTTGGCTCCCGCCCTGCCCAGTGCCTACCACAGGGGGAGAGGTTAGTGCCCAGTTTGCCTAACCCCCACCCTGCCCAGCACCTGCCTTTGGGGCAGGGGTTAGTGCCTGGCCTGGTCTGCCCCTCCCCACTGCACTCACTAGGCACCCGCCAGATATGGGCTGCAAGTGGGTAGGTAGGGGGAGCCCTGGTCCTGATCCTGAGCTGGACTGGGTGCTCAGCTGATCCCGCCCAACTCCCCCTTCAGTATACGCTGAGCATGAGCCAGACTGCACCGGCCCAGCTATCTCCCGGGGAATGGGGCAAGACACGGGGCCTTTCCCCTCTGGGGGTGCTGGCTCCAATCTGCCAGGGCAGGCACTGGCTGGAGCACAGGGCCTTTTCCCTCTAGGTCAGTAGCTGTGGGCTGAGGGCATTGGTGGAACTGTGGGTTAGGAGTGAGGGGCATCGGCAGGGGAAGGGTATCAAGGTGCAGCGGGTCGGGAGGGACAGGCACCCTAGGGGTGGCTCAAACACACATCTGGCCCCTTCCCCTCCCCCCAACCATCTCTCTCTCTCCCTTGGCAACCACAGGGATGTTGTTGCCGCGGTAACTGCTCCCCATGGAGTTGCCCGATCTTCCTGGTCGCCATGGAGACCGTCTCCCAGAAGGAATTTTAAATAACTTTCCCCCACTCCCTCTCATATAACAGGCACCCTAGGGGTGGCTCAAACACACATCTGGCCCCTTCCCCTCCCCCCAACCATCTCTCTCTCTCCCTTGGCAACCACAGGGATGTTGTTGCCGCGGTAACTGCTCCCCATGGAGTTGCCCGATCTTCCTGGTCGCCATGGAGACCGTCTCCCAGAAGGAATTTTAAATAACTTTCCCCCACTCCCTCTCATATAACCCCACCCTAACCTCCCTCCCCCACCTCAGTCCCCCACCAT